TATTGTCCCAAAATGCCAACGGAGAGTCCTTGTAGCTCGAGTAAATCTCCAATAAGTGGGTTCCTCTAAAACTGAATCACATTTTCTCTGAGAAATATATTACGTGACATGTGTTAGTACATTGTTTTCTTGAGACTACGGTGTGTGTGCTGTGCGCTGCGCGGATACAAGAAAAATAAGGAAAAGACATTATTACTTTGGTATTCAATTGGGGTAACTGGGATTTTTCTTTTCTTTTCTTCTTTACTAGATAGAGTTTTGCTCTTGTTGCCCAGGCTGGAGTGCAGTGGGCGCAATCTCCTGCTCGCTGCAACTTCCCGCCTCCCCTGGGTTCAAGCAATTCCCTGCGCTGATGCCTCCCAAGTAGCTGGGATTATAGGCACCGCACCTCCATTGCCCGGCTAACTTTTCGTATTGTTTAGTAGAGACGGGTTCCACTATGTTGGTCCAATGCGCCTTTTCTCAAACTTCCTAGGACTCAAGTGAATCCACCCTGCCTTGGCCCTCCCAGTGTGCTGGGATTACAGGGCATGAAGGCCACCCGTGCCCAGCCAGGAACTCGGGAGTGGTTTCACTCATGGAGAAAAAAGAATCTATAGGATGTAAGTTTGATCTGTCCTGAAACTTGGATATGAGGCAAAAGAAGCTGGCACAACCCATTGTTTACCTTTCATGAAAAGTCCCAAACTTACTGAAGTTACTAGTAGAACAGATAGCCTGAAAGATTTATGGCCTGTTAGACATTAGCCATTTTAGAATTTAACTCAGTAATTTCATCCTAATACTTTTCTGTCAAATTGCTGGCTTCTCAAATGCTCTTTGAACCAGTCATAACATCTTACTGGTTCCCCCATTCTTTTCTTTTTTTTTTTTAGAGATGGAGTCTCGCTCTGTCACCCAGGCTGGAGTGTAGTGGCATGATCTTGGCTCACTGCCATCTGCTTCCTCGGGCTCAAGCAGTTCTCATGCTTCAGCCCCCACAAGTAGCTGGGATTACAGGCACCCACCACCACGCCCGGC